CCAGTCATTGACATTTCATGTATTTATCTTTTATTTGCCATCACCTGGGACCGGGCTTGTAAAATTCTCATGATCTTCACGTTCTTTGCTGTTTTTCTTTACTTGCTGCACTATCACGTTTTGCTCTTTGCCAACACAGTACTCCTCCTTTCCTTTAATATCAGTAGGCCATAATAGATGTATCCCTTGATACTAGCACATTGTATTGGAGAGAAGACGTAAGTATCCCTGTATGTGGTAGCTTTTCCTGGAAAAGAAGGGCGTTGCAGAAAAAAAAAAAAATCATAGTTGTATTGCCATCTTGTAAAAAGTTGTTTTTTTTGACAAACTGTACTTTCTTTCACAGACAGAATCATAGACTGGGTAAAGTTGGAAGGGACTGCAGTGGATCATCTGGTCCAAGCTTCCTGCTCAAGCAGGGCTATCCTAAAGCACATGACACAGGATTGCTTCCAGATGGTTCTTGAATATCCGCAGTGAGGGAGATTCCACAACCTCTCTGGGCAATCTGTTCAGTGCTCAGTCACCTGCACAATAAAGAAGTTCTTCCTCTTTGAGATGTGGTATCATCCACCTAATGCTTTCTGTGCTTTCTGATGAAAATAATAGTGGGAAAATTTACTAGAAATATTTGTAAACTGTGGTGGCAGTAAGGTGGCAGAATAAGACCAGAAATAATTGAATCCCCAGCTATGTGTAATTCACGTTAACCATTCCAGTTACATATTGTTTAGCACATGTTGTCAAAAGTCAAAAATCTCATCTAGCTTTAAAGAGAGGGAAAAAGTACAACCCACTAATACTTTTTTCCTTAAAAATGCAGATGCAGTCACACATTGCATTCATCATAGTGTGAAAACCTCAATAGCTTAGAGCTCATAGCATATCATTAGTTTTTTCCCTTGTCAGTAGTCACAAAAGCCTGTAAATCATTACCAGGATTAGAACGAACAAAGAAGTTTAGGACAAAAATAGAACCATGCACAGTATCTAGGAAAATATTGTATGTGTAAGTACATCTTCCACTGGAATTAATTTTCCTCTCTCCTCTGCACAACACAGAGGAGCAGTCAATAAAGTTTTCCTAGAATTTTATTTCCTTAACATTACAGATAAATTGATTAATAAAATGTTGTAATTGTCTAATCCAACACATGCCTATTATGCTTCTCTTGTCAAATTAAAAATGCTAGAGTGTCTGAAAATTAATGTTTGCTGGACTTTCAACTCCAGTGTTTGCCAAGTGGATGTATACCAACATGAATGTGTTCTGAGATCCAAGCAGATACTAAACAATAGAATTCCACTGTGGTGAATTCTATTATGTTATTCTTTTATTTCAGTTTATTAATGAGCATTCCATGTAATCCTTGTTTGTAGTTTGGTATTTTGTATATTTTAAAGGTGTTTCAGAATGTTGCACTTTTATTCTGTTCTAGTTAACTAATATGCTTAACCATATGAATACTATAACTACATGTTATTCACTACATTTACTGACGTTTCAGGCACTTAAATAATCCATAAATTTCTTTCTTCAGAAAAAGAAGGTGTCTTTCTACAAACGAGCACAAATACTTGTGGCTGATACATGGAGTGTATTAGAAGGCAAAGGAGATGGCTTTTTTGATGATATTTCTAGTCTAACAATATTTGCAGACTACAGAATTCCTCAAGTTCTTGTTCACTTAAAAGCAATGAAGTATTCTGAAGAATTAATGAAGAAACTACGTGAAGGTTTGTTCTGCCCTTACTAATATTAAGTAATCTTATCTCTTGACGTGGTAGACTAAAACTAGTTCTAAAATGTAATGTTAGAACTAGTAACATGTAAGGGTTATGTATATTTTTTTCCTCCAAGGAACAAGGATTTCTTATGTAGTGATGAGGTAACAGTAAGGAACTTTTTCCCTAACAGTGATCTTGAATGAGGTTTTAAGGTTTCTTTTCTGTAAAGACTTAACTGTTCTGTGGATTAAACATTGATAAGGGAGGGATTAAAGAAACTCTAAGCTAGTTGATTTCCAAGTTTTTGAAGGGCTGCTGCTACCAAAACCGTCCTTCAGCATGAGAATGGTAGTGATTTTTGAGGTTTACATAAAAGATGCAATGATTTCTTCATTAATTCAAACGTGAATGTAAAAGCATGGGAATTCCTCTTTATTTGTACTGAACTTCTAGTTAACAAGCAAAGCAGTATTATAAAGGTCCATTAAAAAAATACTGCTTTAAATGAATTTAATTGCATATAGCTAGAGTCTCGTTTTTTAAGCATGGTTCCAACTTCCAATACTTATTAAGCATGAACTTTAGTGAATAAAAAAAAATAAGCCAATCCCTTTTCCACTTTAAAATGACTGTATTTAGAGATTGGACTGCTGTTATGCAATTGCAGAGTTACTCAGCAAGATAAACAGATGAATGCAACCGTCCATGGATCTTAATAGAATGGCCATCTGTATGTCTATGTATGTATCTATATATTAAGTAGACTAGATGGACATTTTATCTTTCCATGAATCCTAATGAGAACATTCCCATTCAGGCCATTCCAATGGTTCCCTTTACATTAGTTTTTTTTTGGGGGGGGGTTATCTTAGAGTAACCTTGGCAGAAAATAAACTATAAAATGTAGTAACTATATACTAAAAAGTATACATAATGAAAGACTATCCTTTTTGTCTCTACAAGCAAAGAAATGGTCATATGATATGCAGTATAGCCTGTTCTGTTGCTTTAATTGAATGGGAGGTAAACTTCTAAGTGCATATGGTAAAATTAAAGTAATCATTAGAAAATTATTGTTTACAGTTATAGTGTAAGTCATGACAACTGGATTCTACAACAGAATAAATATGAAGGGGAAAAAATTAGCAAATTCAGACAGTCCTTGTCTTTCTGTCTCTTGCATGTAAATGGATTACTGTCTCTTGTGTCTACAGGAACAATTTTCCAGTCTGGAGACAAAGAGGAGGTAGAGATCCGTGGCTGTTCTATTTGGTGTTGTGCATTGATTTGTAAGCATTTGCAGGAGCTCTATCAGAAGAAGGGTCAGGACATGCGTGAAAAGATCAATGCAGTTTTACTCGATTATTATCTTTGGGACTATGCCAGGGATCACAGGGAAGAAATGAAAGATATTCCGTTTCACCGAGTACGGTGTATATATTACTAAATCCAGTCTGATAGCTGTTGTATTGTTGCATTATCTTTTGAACTGCAGTTTTGCTTTTCATGCAGTGGTTTGTCATGCACTAATTTGGAGCTGGTTAAATCAAATATTTGTTTTCTTGTGATATATTAACAACTTGCTTTTTTTTTTCCTTCCTTTTTTTTTTTCCCTTTCCTCTTAATCTTTTGCTTGTCCTGACTGGAATTAACAGTGTAAACTTTGCTGGATAGCCCATGTTAATGCAGGGTTTATTATTATTCGAGCTCTGTATTTGTGTATGTACCTGCCTGTGTGTGCATATCTCGCGGTGCACCTCACCTCTCCATGGCTGGCACCTAATGCTGGTCCATCCCCTCTCACACCGGTGTGGAGGTAGCAGGTGCTCGGCACACGTTCAGAGGTGAGAGCGGAACTGGTCCATTCACCCAATAAACACTGTGGTGACACATGTGGCACCGTTTGAGTCTGTGTTTTCACTGGTGTGGGCAGCCCCTGGGAAAACAGGGGTTGTGGGGCTTGCTCCCTGCAGGAAGGGAAGGAGGGAAAGAATCAGAAAATCATTTAGGTTGGAAAAGACCTCTGAGATCATCAGCTCCAACCTATGACCGAACACCACTTTGTCAACGAGAACATGGCACTAAGTGCCATGACCAGTCTTTCCTTAAACACCTCCACGGACGGTGACTCCACCACCTCCTTGGGTAGCCTACTCCAATGCTGAATCACCCTTTCTGTGAAGTTTCTCCTGATGTTCAACTTAAACCTCCCCTGGTGCAGCTTAAGACTGTGTCCTCTTGTCCTACTGCTAGTTGCCTAGCTGCCAGGGAGAAGAGGCCGATACCTACCTTGCTACAACACTTGAAGAAAAGTACAAAGATCAGTGTTTACAGAGCCATTGTGCTGTCTGCTCTGTTATACGGATCTGAATCATGGGTCATCTACCGCCACCACCTGTGACTCCTAGAATGCTTCCATCAACGCTGTCTCTGCACAATCCTAAACATCCACTGGTCAGATTATGTGACCAATACATCTGTTCTAGAACAAGCAGCAGTCACAAGTATTGAGGCCATGTTGCTGAGAACACAGCTGCGCTGGGCAGGGCACGTCTCAAGGATGAAGGACCACCGCCTCCCTAAGATCTTGCTTTATGGCGAACTTGCCACTGGCTGCTGCAAGAGAGGAGCCCCGAAGAGAAGATACAAGGACTCCCTGAAACAACATCTCAGCCTTGGGCATATTGATCATCATAGCTGGTCTAGTCTGGCCTCCAATCGGGAGGTCTCGAGACACACCATCTATAACGCTGCTTATGCTTTTGAGAAAGCACACATTGTCTTTTCTCCTTGAGGAGAAAAGACAATGCAGAAAGAATTGTGTCTAGCAGATTGCACCTGGGGAGTCTTTCTGCTGTGCCTTTTGCAACCGTATTGGCCTTTTTAGCCACTAACACACTTGCAACAAGTGTGGGAGTGCCTTCCCAAATCTTCGTTTGCGAAGCCTAGCCGTGAGACAACCTCCTTCCAGGTAGTTGTAGAGAGTGATGAGGTCAGCCCTGAGCCTCCTCCAGGGTAAACACCCTCGGCTCCCTCAGCCGCTCCCGTAGGCCTTGTGCTCCAGACTCTTCACTAGCTGCCCGTCTCTGGACACGCTCCAGCACATCAAAGTCCTTACTGAACTAAGGGGCCCCGAAGTGGGCAAGGAGGCAGGGAGAGGAGCGCTGCCGCTCACCCACGCCCATGGCGGCCCGTCCCTCCCCGCGCTCCTCCGGCCGCTGGGGGCGGTGCCGGCGCGGGCGGTGCCGACATGGCGGCTGTTGCCTAGCGAGGGGCCGTAAACAGCGCGACGGGACCGGCCTACCGCTGGTGCCGCTGGCCCGGCCGCCGCCACCGCCTTCTCTTCTCCTGCCCTCCTTCCGCACGGGTCCGGCGGCACGGCCAGACGCGGCGGCAGCCGGGGGACGGCGGGCTCAGCGGCCCTTGGCGGCTCCCGAGACCCAGACGTGATCCCGTTCCCGGCTCCTTCTCAGGTTTGGAGAAGCGGCAAAGGCGGAAAATGTTCTGGGCCGCCCGCACAATATCACGGCAGTATGTTTGCTCCTGCCTTATGGCAGCCAAGGAAAAACGATGCATCCGCACCGAAGTATCTCTGTAACTTCGGCGTATTGGGAATATATCATATTCCCACATTCTTTTATAAAATAGAATCCTATGAAATAGGGTTTCCCTCCCACATACGTGCTTAAAGATGGAGATCAAAATCAGAGGAATGCTTTACATGTAGTAACTAGATACATTTAAAATCACCCTTCATAGGTAACACAACTTCTTTCTCTGTGCTTGTCGAGTTACAAGTGTTTGGTGCTTCATAAGTGGAAGAGGGTTTTAAAACTCAGGTGTATACGTACAACTTTTGGAGTAAAAGGTTCTGTTTGACTGATTTATGTTGCCTATGCAATACGAATGCAGGAATAGGAAAATGAGAGGATTCATTGCAAGTGTTTGCTTTATCAACAGTGTCTGTTAACAAGCTCTTAAAATATAGTTGCTTCATATGGCTGTGTTATGTTCAAATAGAAAATCAGGCAACTCTCAGGTTTAAGTCTGCTAGCTTGGAAATTATTAGAGGCAAAATTTATTTATTAATTGATTAAACACTTATTAATATAGCTGCTTTTATATCAGGTATTTTTCAAGATTGTAATGATGCTTACTTATACTTTAGGAAAATATCAACTTTCTATTTCAGGAAATTAATTCTTATTTATTATATAATGTGGAAAACTTTTTTCTTAGTTGCAGACAACTGCGAATAATGTGAACAATACAGTAGTAACAGATTTCTTGCTGACTATCTGAACACTGAATGGGAAGCAAAGGTCTGGAGCCTGGCATGGAGGAGATCCCAGTTAAAGTTGCAGTCCGAGTCAGACCCCTGCTTTCCAAAGAAATACTTCATAACCACCAAGTGTGTGTCAGATTAGTCCCAAATGCGAAACAAATTATCATTGGAAAGGACCATGTCTTCACTTTTGATTTTGTATTTGGCAAAAGCTCAACCCAAGAAGAAGTTTATACTGTTTGCATTAAGCCTCTTCTAGTGTCTCTGACTGAGGGATACAATGCTACAGTGTTTGCATATGGACAGACTGGTTCTGGGAAGACTTACACCATTGGCGGTGACCACATTGGTAGGTTCTTTTTTTAAACTGGTCAACAGTGTGTTTGTGCAAGTTAAATGTTTATTACCCAGTAGATGATGTAGCGGAATTTTAAGGGTTAATGAAAAAAGCTGTAGTAAGAAAGAAAAGTTTCCGAAGTTTATGTGATTAATTAAACTGTTCTAAAGCCTTATCCATGAATTAGGCTATACCAAAAATATCTAAGAAGAAAAAAATTATAAATTGCTCTTTCACACTCCACATTTTAAAACACAACTTAAACTAGAATTTGTTTCTGAAATGCAGTGTTTTTCAAGTTTTTTGCTGTGTTTATCTTACCTTGAAAATTCCTGCATTAGGTAGTTAATTGTTTGCTTGCTCACTCTGTGTTGGCTTTGTTTGTTTGGGTTTTTTTGAGAGACATTTCTGTGACATCAAAGAAATTTATTTAGTTGATTTAATTCTTCCAAATGGATATAAATAGATTATTCTAAATCTCTTGGTAGGTATTAAAATTTTCCTTTTATTTAGAGTCGTAGAACCAAAGAATCATTTAGGCTGGAAAAAACCCATAAGACGATAAAGTCCAGTCATTAACTGATCATTGCTAAGTCTACAATTAAGCCTGTTCCAATGCTTGATCACCCTCTCCATGAAGAAATTTTTCCTGATATCCAATCTAAACGTCCCCTGGTGCACCTTGAGGCTATTTCCTCTTTCCCTGTCACTTGTTACCTGGGAGAAGAGGCTAACCTCCACCTGGCTACATCCTTCTTACAGGTGGTTTGTAGAGAGCAATAAGGTCGCCCCTGAGCCTCTTTTTCTCCCAGCTAAAAAACCACAGCTCTCTCAACCACTCCTCACAGGACTTGTGCTCCAGACTCTTCACCAGCCTCGCTGCCTTTCTCTGGGCACGCTCCAGCACCTCAATGTCTTTCTTGAAGTGACGGCCCCAGAACTGAACACAGGATTTGCTGTGTGGCCTTACCAGTGCTGCGTACAGAGGGACGATCCCTGCCCTGGTCCTGCTGGCCACACTACTGCTGATACAGGCCAGGGTGCCATTGGCCTTCTTGGCCACCTGAGCACTGCTGGCTCATGTTCAGCTGCTGTTGACCAGCACCCCCAGGTACTTTTCTGCCAGGCAGCTTTCCAGCTGTTCTTCCTCCAGCTTGTAGCCCTGAATGGTGATGTTGGAACTCGAAGGGCTAGACCCAGCACTTGGCCTTATTGAACCTCGTACCATTGTCCTCTTTATTCTGCTTACTGTTGTAACTTCACTTATATTCCCTCCACTAGCAGTTATTTAATGTTCCTCTAAGTAGCATTGCTAGTCAAATTGTTTAGGTAGTGAGTGCCACGATCTAAAGCCGTTCATAGTCCAGGAATGACCATATTTTAGTTTTATAAATATATTTACTAAATTCATAGTTAGATGTGACCAACCCTTTAGACTTTTGGTGAAAAATATTCTGGGTATCCTCTCGTAGACAAACAGTTTCCATATTCTTGAATAAAGAACACAAATTAATAATGGAAGCATTGCCCTATGCTGAATATTTAAAAAACAAAAATAGAGTTTGGCGTTAGTGTTCCATGTCTACTTCAAAAAAATAGGAAATTACTGTAAATGTTGGTCATAAATTTTGTCTCACTAAGGTGCTGATGATTTTTTTAAATTTAAGTAGCATTTGTAGTTTCTCAAACCCTCTAGATGTCATTGCCAACCCTAATGAGTAAGGATAAAGAAGAAATCTGTACTCTAAGGAGTGTAGGTTTAAAACGGACTCCATATTTTTCATAACTTTCATAACTATAACATGTAATTTAGAACTTTGAATCCTATTAATGGATGCAAACAAATATTCTGCCCCACAGAAAAAAAAATATTTACAAAAATCCTTGTGAACACTGTGCTCTTCAGATTCCTTAGAATCATAGAATCATAAAATCAGTCAGGTTGGAAAAGACCTCTGAGATCATCAAGTCCAACCCTTGATCCAACACTGCCGTGGTTACTAGACCATGGCACTAAGTGCCACATCCAGTCTCATCTTAAAAACCTCCAGGGACAGTGAATCTACCACCTTCCTGGGTAGCCCATTCCAATGTCTGATTACTGTCTCTGTAAAAAATTTCTTCCTAATATCCAACCTAAATCTCCCCTGGCACAGCTTGAGACCGTGCCCTCTTGTCCTGCTGCTGGTTGCCTGGGAGAAGAGACTGATGCCCACCTGGCTACAACCTCCTTTCAGGGGGTTGTAGAGAGTGATGAGGTCTCCTCTGAGCCTCCTCTTCTCCAGGCTGAACAGCCCCAGCTCTCTCAGCCTCTCCTCATAGGACTTGTGCTCGAGAATATTGAGTAGCAAATCTCACAGACTTCTCTCAGTTTTCAGTCTTTTTAATTTATCTGACAGAATAACTACAAGGCTCTGTGACATTTGTGCTTGTATTTTAGCATCAGTTGCAGAGGATGAAAAAGGCATAATCCCACGGGCTATTCAGGAATTATTTCAGCATATTTCTGAAAACTGTGATGTTAACTTCTATGTGAAAGTATCTTATATAGAGGTTTACAAGGAAGAACTTCGAGATTTGTTGGAGCTGGAGACCTCTGTGAAAGAATTACGTATCCGAGAAGATGAGAAGGGAAATACAGGTAGGATTTCAGCTCTAAAATTTGATGTGTTGGTGTATTAGGGAGGGTTCAAACCATACTGAAGCTTGAAAACCAAGACACCATTAAAAGCTTAACAAAACCCAATATTTATTACCAAGAGGTGGCCAACAAAACGAACAAACCCAAAAAGGAGGAAGGAGGAGAGAAATAAGCCCCCAGCACGACCTCCCCAGTTACCCAGCTGTTGCCCATAAAGTTATCTTACTGACCTAGCATGCCTATAATTACCCATAGCAGAAGCTGCATCCTTGGAGAGTCGGTAAGTTCACAAACTTGCAGGCGTCCCTGCCAAAGGCAACGTTGTCCTTGGTATGAAGTTAGCTCCCTCCAAGAAAGCACTATCTGCTTTTTATACAATTAATTGAGTGACCACAACCTCCCAGGTGTGGCCAGCACTGCCCAGCCGAGGCCCTCCGTCCCACCCCCTTGGTTGTGTAAGTGCATCTCTTCTGCGCACGTGTGGCTTTCCCTGTGCCTGCCTACGGTACTCGGGGGGGTCTTTTCCAAATGAGTCTGGGGGATCCTTCATCCTCTTCCTCCTCAGTCTCTCCTTCAAGCAACCTTGGAGGGCAACTAGCCAATCACAGAATACCAATTAAAACAGTTTATACAAGAAGCTCTCTTCAAGGACAGCTTTCCAGTTTATCAGTGCTTGTTTTCCAATAACTTGGCAGGGAAAGAGCAAAGCTTTCACAGGTGGCAGGGCCAAAACCAGACCAAAAGTATCAGCATAAATTCACCCTGGTACAGTTGGGTTTCACTTGTGTGTCTAAGTTATTCTTGCCTTCTCTTGAAAATGCTCATTCATTACTAATGCTAGGGAAAAAATAGTTCGAGTTTCAGAATATAAACTCAGTTTAACTTATTTGAAGCAGTTTTGAGGTTAGATGCCTGTGAGTAATAGGTGGATATTCCAATATAGATGGAAATGGCAAATGATAAATATGCAACTATTGCTTCTGCAAATTCTGTCTAGAAATAGTGTGTAATTATTTACTGGAATAAGTATTTTACGATTAAACCATTGCTTCTCCCTTCAAAGTTATAATTGTTAAACCACTTATATTGTAAATATCTACCCTCCTTTCACTATAAAATGAGTGGAAGAGACCTCTTCTTTAAGAGGAGTAGTTTTTTTTTTGTAGTAGTAGATATTTTTGGAGGCTTTGAGATTTAACACCCTCTAGGTATCTTGTTCACCACATGAAAATGCTAGAAGAATCCACATCAGAGATATTTTATTCTCAAACTGTTTGAGGTTTGGCTTTTGTTTGCTTGTTTATATTCTAATTGTTGTGTTTACTATTGTTAGACTTGTTTTACTGAGCTGTCATGGTTTTCTTGTCTGTAGCTGGAAGAAGGCACTAATTTAGCACAAATCTTGAAGACAATATAATTGCTTCAAAATGACCCCACAATACATTTTAAACTATTTCTCTTCTTCATTACAGTTTGAGTCAGCTTCAGTAGACTGTGCTAGGACATTTTCCATCATTAATTTAAAGAAAAATATGACAAAAAATATGCTGGGAAGGAGTATTTGGTAGAAGTACACTTCTACTTTATTAGGTTATTAACAGATACCTATCCCAAAGACCCAACTATCCAAGCTATTTAGGATAAGAATTCTGTTCTTACCACAGGCCAGGAATCATTTTTACTAAAAATCTTATTGGTTTTAGTATTTTTTTCTTTTTTAAACTTGCAAAATATTCTTTGAGCTGACTTTGCTCATACTTTTTCCAGTTAGACTGTGAATTATGTAAGGCAATGTGCAGTGTGTAAATGAGTTGTGTCTTGTCTAAGATACTGTTTCAAATGCTGACACAATACATCCATATATTAAATATCTGCAGGGTTCAGACGTGTTGTACCTCATGCTTTTCACATATTGATGTCTTCTTTTTTCTGTAGCTATATGCTATGACCACCTAATAATGCAGGCTTGTATGTTTCTTTAATATTTATTTATAGCTATTACTGTAAACTTTTGCTGAAGAGTTTAGAATTAATTGGATTATTCTTACTTTCACCTGTTTCGGTGTTTGAAGTGATTGTTGGCGCTAAAGAATTCCAAGTAGAATGTGCAGATGAAGTGATAAGCCTGCTGGAAAGTGGCAATGCGGCTCGTCGCACAGGCACAACGCAGATGAATGAGCACTCTAGTCGATCTCATGCCATTTTTACCATCAGTATTTGTCAGAAGCAATCTGCAGAGTCTCAAAAAAATACTGATGCTGCACGGGATTTGATCGCTTCGAAGTTTCATTTCGTGGATTTGGCAGGATCAGAGAGGGTAGCAAAAACTGGAAATACTGGTGAACGCTTCAAGGAATCAATTCACATTAACAGTGGTCTCTTAGCCTTGGGAAATGTCATCAGTGCCCTTGGAGACCCAAAAAGGAAAAGTGTACATATTCCATACAGGGATGCTAAAATCACTCGTATTTTGAAGGACTCCCTTGGAGGAAATGCCAAGACTGTTATGATAACATGTATAAGTCCATCCTCACTGGACTTTGATGAATCTTTAAATTCTCTCAAATATGCCAACAGAGCCAAAAATATTAGAAATAAACCAGTAGTAAATTACAACCCCGAAAAAGACCGCATTGATGAAATGGAACTTGAAATCAGATTACTTCGGGATGCTTTGCAGAACCAGCAGATCAGTAATCAGTATTTACATGACTTAAATGAAGAAAAAGCTCGTATCAGTTCACTCGAGGAGCAGCTCACCCGCCTTCAGGTTCAGTATTTCAGTTACAGAAATTGTGTAGATGAAGCCTTCCCCTTTCTACTTGATTTGAATGATGACATTAGCTTAAGAAGAAGTCAGCGGGACAGGTTGCAGAGGTGGATCACTATGGTACAGAAAGTAAGGAAGGAAGCTCTCACCGTCCAAGAAACTGACACAGGGACTGAGATGAGCCCAGAGCCGCATCATGCCATGATTCTTCAACTAAAGAAGGAACTAAAGAAATACCAGGTATTTAATTATAAGTTCACTATTTAAATAACTAAGTGAAAAATCAATCTGCCAAATTTAATTTGCAAACTAATTTGTGCCTCCACCAGCAGGACTTGTGGAGAAAAAAATAGGAAGAACGGGAATGAGAAGGTTTGTGGGTTGACATTATGTTTCAATGTTTTGTATTTGTCTTCTACACGCTTCCTGGAAGAGTAACAACATTTGGAAGTCTCCTCCAATCAGTATTGGATTATTCATTCACACAAACACTTGAAGAAGCATTCTTACAGTTTCTTTAAGCTGTTATCTGAGTTTCAGAACAAGAACAGCTGTTCTTATTTTTTTCATTTGATAAGCGTATTAATCACAAGATGCTGAGATCTTGTGGCTGCATGTAACAGCATGCTAAAGAATAATTGATTTCAGATATATACTTCAGTAAAGGAGCTTTGGTTATGAGTAAATTATTCCCTTTGGAATAATGAAACTTGTCAGAACAAAATCAATAGATGAAACGGAAGTGAAAAAATAACTGGTAGAAACTGCAGATAACCACTTAGATAATTTGCCGTACAAAACTTTGCAGTTCTGATCATGTCTTTTAACAACAAATGAGGTCTTATTTTCCAGCTTTTCCACTTTCCGCCCTTTTCCCCAGCTGAACTTTTCTTGTATTATCTAGCAGGCACTAGTTGTGGATGAAGAAGTATTCAGCCAGAAGGATCGTGAAGTCCAGATACTACAGAATCAGATAAAGACATTACTACAGGAAAATGAAGAACAACTGGAATCTTTAAAGGAGGCTCAGGAAACACATAGATTACAGGTATTTTTCCACTGATACACATGTATCTGTATTGAACCATCCTTCCACTGTGTGAATGCATTCAACAAGTCCCTGTATTTTATTTTTTTTTAACTACCAGTCAATATTAGAAACATTTTGATTGAATTAGAGCTGTATCACTTAATCAGTTGGGTTCATCTAGTGGATGAACCACAATAATGTGATTCTTGAAGTCTGTACGTAAGCCTAGCTATGCCACAACCTTCCTGTATAACCTGAGATATCATTCACTCTCTCCATGCCTTCCTGTTATGCTTCAGGATTTGTATTACTGTTAAGTAGTTTCAGGACAAGTAATGAATTAGAATTTGAAAAACTTTGAAAGATTCTTTAGACTCTAAAAGTTACTGTTAATAATTGAAAGGTTGGATAGAAACTGATTTTGTTATAGCTTTATTAAGAATTAGAGTATTATTCCCTTTTGAGTTTGCAAGACAGAATTCCATCCTAACTTTCTGATCATTTACTAATAGAGAAAACTGAATGACATAATGGAAAGAGACATAGTGAGAAAGAGGCTTCTTGCCGCTTTCCTTCTCTAGATCTTGTGCTTGCTAGTGAAATTAAGATGGCTATCATGTGCATAACGTTTTAAGATCAAGAAGACCGCAGATAGAATAGTTAATATTCTCCCGGTGTTGCCTGTCACATGGATGACAGATAAATTATTATGTGACTTTTTTAAAAGAGAAAAGCATAAACATGGATAGCTAGTGCTCTTCTCCTTATTATACTTTGTCTCCTTTTTCCTCTTCTTTACTGATGGCTTGGCCATAGTCAATGACTGAAAGGTAAGTGTACTAGTCATCATCTTTTTCTTTCCTCTGTCACTGTCTTTCTTTTCTGTCACCTCTGTCTAGATTTTTATTTTTAACCTGTACACCATAGTGTCAACTTACACTGTGATAATGCTTATATAAATTCTGGAGGATACAAGGTAGGAGGTAATGAACAGAATATGTAACAGTGTAGGTAAAAGATCAAGTATTGGAGACAGCAGAGAAGCTTGGGAGCTTTCAGGCACCATTTTGGTATTTATTTCACTAAACTGCCATTTCTATGTAAAAACAGGTAGAATAATGAAAAGCAAGTACTTTTGTCAAATATTTTAAGTTTTATTCACAGGAATATGTAATTTAATGATATATAATAGAATAAAAACTTTAAAAGTAACAAGTATTAGGTATTAAATGTTTATAAAGATACGTATTTATGGAATGGGTGTTACACTGTGAGCTTGTATGTACAATAGTATCAGGGACAAAAATTCTTAAAAGGGTTAAATAATACCTTCTAGTCAATCAGTTAGCTGTTACTGCTTCCAAAATGATAATAAATGTGATATTCATACATATATTCTATTTCCTATAACATAGGGAATATATGTACTGTATTCCAAAACAACGTCAGTATGTAAGGCGTTGTATGCTTGTGTTTGGAAAGAACTTTCAATCTAAGAGAACAGCATAAGAATGAATAGAAACTTATACTCAAAGCAGGAGAATGCAAAATGTATCATGAGCTATTCTTCAGCTTTTCTGTTGTTGCAAGGCCAGATTTTAACCATACTTTGAAAAGAATCAAAAACAAGAGAGTGAATTAAAAATTTATGTAATCTTGGCCTTGTGGATAAATCAGTTTAGGTAACATAAGTACTTTGAACGATGTACAGAGAATGCTGTAGGAGAAGCAGACAAGATCTCCAAACTATCATTACCAACAAAAGCTGAGGCTCGGTGGAAGAAAAAAGCAGCAAGTCATCCTAGGACATGTACATGTTTATGTTTATTTTTACAAATAATCTTTCAAGTGGAAGTGCTCAAAGAGGAAGACGAAGCCCATATACATGTTTAATTCATAAGACTCAGACCACGTGTTTCATTTGAACATTTTTTTTGAATTCCCATTTTATTTCTCCATAAACACCCATATAAAGGAATTTCAAGATGCTAACTACGTTGTCCGCCTCTCACTAGATGTTACTAGATGTAACTTAACTGGGATAGGTTTTTCTAAAAAAAATGTGTCTAAAATTTATTGGAGTTGGTGTGTGAGTGGATTGATGATATGTCATAGCATTTGTAGTTTGTTACAGAATTTGCCTGTGCCCAGCAGAATAATTGAGAGTCAGTGAGTGATTTACAAGATTCATGACCTTTGTATGGAATTTAGAAATAGTGAATATGATACAGAACTCACTTTTGCTTTGTTATTATTTTCCCCATGAGACTGAGAAAATGGTAGAACAGCAAATGCTTATTGATCAGCTAAAAGAAAAATTAGAGAAGATTACAGATGTGAAAACTTTAGGTATCTCAAATGCTTGTGAAGATGGGCCAGCATTTGCAAGGAGACCCTACAGTGTCCCACTCACACAAAATCTGCTACGCTTCCTTCATCCACCTTCAGGTACAGAGACCCAAAAGGTAAGGTCTACCCAAATCTTACATTTTTGCCCCTCTACTTTGTAATGATTATGAGCCAATAATTAGACATGACATGACAGTGGCTTTCTCAGATACTGCTTAGCTTCTCATTAAAGACTCTGAAAAATTATTGTCTTGCAACACTTGCTATGCCACAATTATCCAAAATATTCAGGCTTAAAATTCCTACTTACAAGTGCTAAGGCTCTAATATTTTCTGGTGTTTTTCTGGAGGTTTTGAGGGTTCAAATACAAAACATTAACAAAAATGAATTATTATTTTTATGACTGCATTGAATAAGTGGAATAACGAGTTTTTAACAGTGCCTTCTTTCACATTTGAAGTTCTTGCAAAACCATTTGTTACAAAGGTATTCAGAGTTATTAGAGAAAACTTCTAATTTTGCTTACAAGCTCAAGTGATGTCAGAATTTTAAACTGAAATATTTTTTTAAAATATCAGTAAAGAATTGCTAAGTTGTTGCAGCTGTTTTTACCCATCACTATTTTTGTGTGCTCTCTGGCAGGTGTATACCAGCCTCTGTGCCTTCTCCCTGAACAGGAGAATGGCAGAATTCCACGCTCGCAGACAGATGATACTGAGCAAGATAGAAGATCAGGATAAAGTCCTTCACTGCCACCTCTCTGATCAGAGTGATGAAGAGGAAGAAAATACAGGCAGCAAAGACAAAACCTCATTTAAGTAATTTTTTGTTCTATAACTTTTGTTACAGACAAATGCATAGGTATAAAGGTAGAATTACTGCCTAATCCTGCCATGATATGAGACTGTCTGTAATGCTACTTATGGTAAACTTGTGGGACCAACTGGGCATATTGCAGAATAAGTTTAATAAACATAGGTTTAACAAAGATTGCATAATCCTTGGTTTGGGGCCAGAATCTGCCATGAAGATCGGGGGGTGGTGTGGAGCATAGATGGGAAAGAAGGTACAAATACCGTGGTAAGTTTGGGATTCTTTTCTGTTAGAATCATAAAATTTGCGCAAAGCAAATTATATCCCTATGTATTTGCAGTTTAGCATGTTTATCATTCTTCCTTAGGCATTCCATAAACCAAACATGGACACAAAATCAGGCTTCTCTGTGCACTCTTCCTGATCTAAGTGATATGAAATGTCAAATAAACAAGTCTGGTTTATCCAACAAATTTGTGCTACAGATTGACACAGTCACAGGTAAAATGAAAGTCATAAGAGCAAATCTTATTACAGTATCAGCATATGCAAGAGTGTCTTTAGCACATGTAACTATTTTTCCCAGCAAAATGTGTGTATTTGATAAGAATATTTTTTTAGTTACAGCTCAATGTAGGCTTTCAAGATTCTATTCTTCTTTCCCTTTCTGAAACTGATGTCAGTAGCCTTAGTGTTTAAGTAATATTTGTTATCCAGAAAGCTAGTTAGATATAATCCTTAGTACTTCTTCAGTGAAACAAAATGGAATTCTCTTGTCTTACCAGAAATGCACTGAAATGTTTTCAGGAATATTTTTCCTCATACGTAGAATCTTGAAATGCAAGTCCATACATTTCTTTTCCTGTTTAGACGCATAGCAGGGAAAAGACTCTTGGTGCTATTCTCTCCTTTTGATTATTTTACTTCATGTGGAAGCACTCCACACAGACAGTGTTCCAGAGCACTACCTTTTGGGTCAGCATGTATTCCAGATTTTTAATCTCCATTTTGCTTTGTTTTTTTCAAGGTGAAAAGATTGACAGCCTCCAGAAAATTCATGTTTTTAACATACAGAAGTTGAAGATTTCAGAGTTGAGATTCACTGAGGCTGAGCAAAAAATAAGAGAACTTGCACTTAATATCAAAATGAAAGAGGAACTTATTAAGGAATTAGTAAGAACAGGTAACTGGCTACTATAGGGATAATTGGAGTGAAGATATTCAGAAAAAAAAGAAAAGCCACAAAAAACCTGAAGTCCTGCATGTCTTAGTTTTTACATAGCTACCTTACACAAGGATACTTTTAACAATTTAGATTTGTAACTTTGCTGATTACTTGCTATAATTGCACTGAAGGCTGTAAATTTTGATTACAGCCTACTCTGCTATGATATGCAGATGTATTTGTTAAATATTTTTTGTACTTTGTTGATTGTTGCTCTTATCCAACAATAATGTAATTTTTCATGTAAGCTCAGTGCTACTGATCTCTTCATGGACATGTATTTGTCATATGGTGTCTGGGTGTCTGTATCTTCTGTGTTTTAGCACAGTAGAGAAACAGGAGTTGGAAGTGGATGAGGGAAAAGGTCAGTGTCCCTGTTAGCCTACATCCCTTACACATCTGTCCTGATACAGAAACTAGCCTTATGGTGACAGTAAGGATCTCTCTGCTCAGCTCCTTCAATCACACTCCTCTCCTATGCTTACCTTCTCTTGAGGTTGTCTTTTGGCACTGAGGAAGATTCTGTGTCCCACCGCCAATTGCCCAAACAGAACAAGTCACGGAGTAGAAACACTATCCAAGGTTTTTTCCTAATTATTAAGCTTAAAGCTGAGTAATAAATAAATAGCATATTGTTCTGGAAAAAAAACCAAACCAAACAAATTTATGAAATACAGGGAGCCATTTTGGCAAACACTGCAATAGGCAGAAGAATTTAACTTTGGCAGTCAGGTGGCATTTGGTGACATCAGGTGACTTGTGAAAAATTCATATATAGGACTCCTTCCTTTATGTCCATTTCAGTTACAAGGAAACTGCATGTTCCTTTAGTATTGGAAATTGAATCAGAAATTACTGATTTAGCCAGAACAAAGTAAGTAATGATTCAACTACAAAATCGAGTATTACATTTCAACTGATTATTATGCTGTCTTTAAGGTAAGGATGCTCAGTCTGTAAGTAGGCAATATTCTTTGAAGATAACTAAACTGGAGCAAGAAACTGAACAGGCCAAAATGGAACTGGCTGAAACACAAAAGCAGCTTCAGGAGCTGGACAGTAAAGAGGTGAGAGATGTTCCTGAGAAAGTCAAGTTACAAAAAGAGTTCCGGAAGAAGATGGATGCAGCTAAGTTGAAAGTGCAGGTATTTCTGATCTGACCATTAAGGGTTGCAAATCTCTGTCTCCCTGTCATATCTGAACCTTAACACTGTGCTTGTAAAATTCTCACCTGTTTTACACTTTAGAAGTTGACTGGATTAAAGTAGCTAATGAGAAATTTAATACTATTATACTCAGAATGCTATTTAACATATACATGGTTAGATACATACAATATTTTCATGGTAGGTAAGAAGCCAAAAAAGAAGTGGGAGATATAGGATGTCCATATACCATTGTATGTAGTATCATAAAAGAACCTATACAAGGAGTCTATTACAAGTTTATTACCTGCCATAAAATCAATGTTTTATGAAAATACTATATAAATTCCAGCTCTAAGCAAATTCATGTGATAGTTTGCAAGGCCAGGCCCAGTACAGTCATATTTGTTTGACACTGAGCTTCTGTTTTTAAGTTCTGCTACACCTAAGTTTAAATTCTGTATAGGGCCAGCTTAGGTGCTCTGTGCCTCTCGATCCTAGAATGGTGGGTCAGAAAAGTTCCATGCGGAAAAAGGTAGTTGGCTTATTGGCTTGGGCTCAGAACCAGCATTCTGTCACCATTATGTCTCTGCACATTTTCTAGAGCTGTTAGATTTTACTACTTACACTGTATTGCCGGGCATGAACTGTATTTTACCTTTTTCTGCCTGTATGACTTTACTAGATAACTCAGAAACCACAGGAATATCAGGTGATTGTTTGGGCAGAAGTTAGTAAGTCTTGCTGACTCTAAGAATTCAGTGAAATAAAGAATGAAGTTGAGTCTTAGTTATAAGTTTTCCTGGTATTAACTGAAATTTGACATGAATATTCAGGCCTTACAGAAGAAGCAGCAAGGCACTAAAAACCTGGCTTCCTTATCTAACCAAAGTGAGAGAGAAGCAACAGAACTTGAGCAGAGCGTGGCTCAGATGAAGCATCAGCAATCCCAGATACAGAAGAGACTGTATGAGGAGAGTGAAAAAAAGAAACAACTAGAAGCAGAACTTCAGCAGGACCAGCAACAAATTAAGGTACGATTTTTCCTGTTTCTTTATGACAAAGAATTAGATACTCCTGCTTCCTCAAAGACAATAAACTATACTGCCAGGGTTTCCATAATTTTCAGTAATGACTGTCATATGTTGAGATTGGCCCCCTCTGAGAGGCTGAGGGGCTCAGAGGTGATTGGGTGCCAGGACAGTGTTCCCTGGAGGGCCAGTCACCACTCATGTTGTTCGCTTCTGCTCAAAATCATATATCACAGCACCGGAACCTGTTGGCAGTTCTGTCTTGGTTGTTTTGCTGTTGGTGTCTGCTGCGTGTAGGTGGACAAGGCCAGGGGGTGGCTGGGCTCCCTCTCTTCCCCTCTTGGGGGGAGAGGGGAGCCCTGCGACCCCCCAACTCAGCCTTTAGCTAGAGTTAGAGTCAGCATTTGGAGTGTGTGCTGTGAAGGAAGAGATTCACAGCACCTGAGGTAAGAGGAGAGAGGCAGGCTTTGTAGCCAAGCCCTCTTCCCTCTCCTTTTCTGCAGTGAAGCTGTAGAGGGGGACTTTTTCTTTCCCTCCACTGTAAGTGGAGGAGAGGCTCAACTTGAAGCTGAGCCAAGAGACTGGGCTGTGGAAGTAGGCCTGGTGCTTGGAAGAAGAGTCCCAGGTGAAACTGGAGACGAGCCAAGAGCTTGGAAGTTGCCTGCCAAAGCTGACCAGGGGCAGCTGAGAACTGATGTGGAGGAATGAGGATTCCAGGATGTGGACGCTTGATAAGCTACACTGCAGCAGCCTATGAACCGAGGTGAGACACCGAGAGGGAGAAATCACCAGCAGCAGAAGAGCAAGGACTCAGAGCTATCTTCTCGGACTTCATGAGGAGGAGAAACTACAACAAACAACTAGAACTTGGTGAGGGGGGAGTGTTCAGGAGCCCAGAACACTCCCACAGCAAAAGACTGTGTTACACATCAGCCTTAAAGGCTGCTCCTGGACTAAAGTTAAAGGAGGGGCTTGAAAGGACTGACTGATAGTAATGTTATATATATATATGTAGTTGCCTTTAGTTTGTATAGTATTTATTTGTGTAAATAAATGTATATACTTCCCCCTTCCCCTACAGAAGCCTCTGGTCTGAAAGTTTCTCTCCGGTGTTGGGATAAATTGTGGGAAGGGGTGGGGAGAAGCCTAAAAATTGGATTTTAGATTTCTAAAGTGGCTCAAACTGCCACGTGACTTAATAACTTTCTGGATAAATGCACTCAAGAAATTGTGTGTAAACGTTTTCACATAAATCTTCAGTTTGCCTTTCTCTTTCAGCTTTTTTTTTTCATTTTATTACATGATATCTAGTTCTAAATTGCAATTTTACAGGTAAATTTAGGGTCAGTATTTCAGATTATATACTTGTGTGAACTCTGACATTAAATGCATTTGACTGACTGATGCAGGAAAAATGGTGCTTTTTGTTTGTTCGTAGGAATTTCAGCTTAAGATGGAGCAACAACAGAAGATCCTTGAACTGAAGGATAAAGAAATTGCTGCTTTCAAAAAGAAGAAAAATAACTCTGTGGGAACTCCACATAAACTACAGGTAGTTAATCTATTCCAAATCTGTGTAAGCCCTGAAATAAAAAAAATTTTTTTCATCCCTAGTCATATGTCTTTGTGAATTGTTTGGAAAAAGTGTTCCATCATAGTTTTGTCTTCTTTTTTGCTGTAGCAAAAAATGGCAATATAGTCTAGCAGCTCTTTTACTCTTTTTCAATGAAAGAAAGAAAGGAGGGCCTTTAAAGTTTTTTTCCTTACATTTTGTCAGAAATGCTGATTCAGAGACCCAAGAGTTCAACAGGTTTGGTTTTCTAGTAGGTTTGAGGGTGATGTTGTTGTGCAATGTTATAAATGTTCCATGGGTTGTTTGGGGATTTTATTTTGTTTGGTTTTCTACTCTGACATAAATTACTGTGGTCTCTGCTTTTGGTTGTTCATAACAGGGCTAGAAAAGTATGTGTTGTATGCAGTGGTGCCACCTACATCATTTCAATATGGACACTGGAATCTGAGTTACCTAAAGTCTTTAAAGGCTAAAAGAAGTTTTAAAAGTTAAATAAATGCAACTGTTAAGCCCTGATAAACTGTGGCTTCAGAATAAACTTGTAATGGACTATGCTAGCTGGATCAGAGATGCCATTTACTGTCTTTAATTCTTTCAACATCACAGTTTCTTGTCTCCTAATGTTTTTTCCACAAAGAGCCATTCTTGGGCAACTATAATGCAATGATGATGGGCTGGGTGAATTCTCATGGTACCTTCTAAACCTAGTTGCTGTGCTTAGGTAGATGACATCTATTTATATAACTGTTCTTAGAAAAAGAATATCTTTCACTTAAATGCATCTAGTACAAATTTGTTTATATGAGATGCAGCAATATAACTTTGCTGAGCCCCTTGTTAAGTTAGTCCAGTTTCTGTATTATTTTTAGCCAAGATATTGTTGCAGAATTAAAGTTAGCATCAGAAATGTCAACGTCTGATACAGTTTTATCAGTAATTATAAAAAAGATAAACATTATAATAGAATTCTGACCCAAAAAGTCCTGGCTAATGCTCTCTGGATCTGTGTTGAAACTTTAGAAATTAGAAGAGCAAAAGAAGTGGTTGGATGAAGAAATGGAAAGAATTCTTCAACAACATCAACAGTTAGCAGAACTAGAAGAAGATTTAAAGAGAAGAGAAGCCATTGTAGCCAAAAAAGAAGCATTATTGCAAGAGAAAAGCCACCTGGAAATCAAGAAATTGAGATCTAGCCAGGTAATTTAAGAAAATTAAAGCTGACTGAAAGACTGGGGATGGGGTGAGTGGGCAGGGAACACAGACAAGATAGCAGAGGAGGCTCAAGCCATGTGTCTTTAAAGGTGATGTAGGTACTGGGTGGCTTGACCAATCAACATTTAAAATGTAAATAACTCAGACAATCATTTTTATTCATTTTTCTCTCCAAAACTGCAAACCAAACCAAACCAAACAGTTCTGAACTGTGGAGTTCTGTTAATGCAGAGCATTAACTAATATGATATCCATGATATCAGATTATTTATGAATATGACTCAGTCCTTTTGTAAACTAGAGAACATGACAGGGAAATATCTTGCAATATTTTTTTTTTCAGTAGCAAAAGTGAATTGAGCTTGAAATATCGTTGTCACTTATAATGACTAGTCCCTTTAGTATGTAGAAAACTGCACCTTGAGTGTTTTTGTTTTTTCATCTTTTGTATATCTTATGGTAGCTGTCTGTGCAAAATAAATGGGGTTCCATTGCAAGAAGCAAGCAATTTTTTCACTTCAGAATGTGACAGTTTCACCTACTTTTTTCTTACTCAAAGGGAGTATCTCAGTCTTATATCTGTGATTGCTGTGGGTTTTTTTAGGCCTTAAACAAAGATAGTGTGAAATTGGCTGCTCGCTTAAGTATACTGGATCAGGAGCTGTGTGATAAAAGTATGCAGCTTCAGGGCAGCACCACTGAAGACAAGACAGACATTTTGGAAAAAATTCAGGTTCTCCACATGGAAAGGGATCAGCTGCTCAGAAGGAGAAATAGTGTGGATGAGAAACTGAGAGATGGTAAAGTGTTGTCAACTGAAGTAAGTAAGCACTTCTGAGAGATAAATATAGATTTTAGCTAGTGTTAGATAATAATGTCTCCAAATATTAGAAAAGCTAGAACTGAGGAACTGGGGTTGTGTATTTTTGTAAATAGCAAGGTAAAATACTGCTGTGATAGCACCAATTACATGCTGGTAACAAAGTTGAAGTTCAGAGGGACTTAATTCAGATAGTGCCTTGCCAAGTCTACTGGTCTAAGAATCATACAATGAAAATAAGGGAACTAGCATTTCATCAGTTTATCACAGTCAGATATTTTAATGTCATGACACAGAACAAGCAATGTGCTCACATAATAACACCCCCTGAATATTTTCATAGGATTTTGTGGAATAACAAACTTCACCTGAAGGACTCCGTACTTTTACAGCGAAAATAAGTCATATTACCTAGATGGCCCACACTTGGGTTGATTGAAATCATTATGTTGAAAATGTAATAAATCTGCAGTGCTTCAGGCCACACATTTCTGCCACTTCCCTACACAAGTTTTGGTCACCAAACTCCTTATTGACCTGTGAAAACTAGCACAACCAAAAAAAAATAAAATAGCAGAAGTCAACTATTGTGAGGATGAGGAAAGGATAAAAAAGGAAACATGACTTCTGGTTTTCATCTGATCAATCTCTGTATCGTGCTAGGAGTACTATGGCAGGAAAAGACAGATGTTCTAGATTTGCACTCTACCTCTTGTTTTTCCTTTTCCATTGTCTGTGCTACTACTACTGCTTCATACCCTTAAGTTTAGTTTTGCTCTTGAGAGTGAAGTTAAACATGTCTTGAAAGATTAATTCTAAGTTTTTTTTCTTAAAAAAAGTTTCGCTCATGTGTTTCTCTGTAGGAAGAACATGTCCTTTTCCAGCTAGAAGAAGGAATTGAAGCTCTGAAGGCTGCTATTGATTACAAGAATGAAAGTATTTATAATCGCCAGCACTTGCTTAGGTCATCTTCTCAGAGTCTTTCACAGAGTGAGAATAATGTAATAGGGAAACTAGTTTCCCTGTCTGCTGCTGAGCTCAGAGCTATTATCATCAATTATTTCAACAAGGTTTGTTTTGGCTAATGAATAATATTTTATTCCATTTTATATTACTGTTCTAGATAATGAAATGGTAGCAAGAAGTAAAAATAAATTTAGGAAACTTTTGGTGAAAATCTCTTCAGGTTACATAGATCTGCTATTAATTCACATATTTTAATTTTTATGTTAACATAAATAATATACTTGTGTGTTAACTTTGTATATCTTGGTTTGAGGTCATTGGCTTGAAAGGTGCTGCAGATATGGATATTTCCTTCCCCCTTTCCAGTGCTCTGTTTTGCTAACTTTCAGAGCAGCAGCATATTTAAATAGTGGTGTTGTATTGAAATTCTTCCTGACTGCAGGCTTTCAAGAAAGCTTCATAAAGCTCAGGCTAATATTTCTACTTTTTTTTTTCTAAATTCAGTATGAACTAGTTTTGCATTAGTTGCCTGCAATGTGTACAGCTACATACTGAAGAATTATACTGATATCTGGAAACATAAAAATGAAATGCATTAGAATATGATGTGTCTTTGTGACTTTGAATGATTTTGTAAAAAAGTTGTCTGCAGGATGCAAGTTGGAAGTTTTTCAGAATCAGGAAGCCACTGTTGTTTCAGTTTAAATTTTGTACAGAGTATTAAAAAATCCACTAGTCCATGTGATCAAAAGGTACACAGTTCAGTTCTAAAGTGTCAACTGGTAGCAATGGCAAGTCTGCTTCCAGAATAAGCCTAACGGCTTGTAGAGATCATTGGTTTTGTATGTTTTAATCTATTACGCTGAAGGGTAAAAGGTTTTCTTAAAATGCTTTGATAAATCAAAATAAGTGTATTTCTTTCTTAGATTGTTGGCCTACGTGAGTCTGAACGAAAATTACAACTGCAGATTGAAGAACAGGAAATGAAGGCTATGGACCGGGAAAACATAATACGTGAATTAGAATCAGCACTTGGACACATGAAGTTGCAGTGTGACAGGCAGCTCACCCTCCAGCGCAAAGAACACCAGAAAAAAATACAGTTGATATTGCATCATTTGAAAGGTATCTACTGCTTGGAATGGATCATACAGCAAGTACTGTCTTCAGTCACTACAGAGAAATACTGTATTCCAACTGAAAAAATAAAAGAATAAGGTTCAGAGATATATTTTGGCTGTCACTAATTCTGATGTCATGTATGATGCCAAGGAACAGACACATGGTGTCTGCATGAGAGGAAAACTGTATCTTTTTTAAAGAAGTATCAGAATTGTTATGTTTTCCTACTGAATTTACTGATATTGGAAAATTGAAATATACTGCTCCTGCTGATCTTGATCTTCCAAATACTATTAAAACTGACAAGCAGGGTTGACATGGCCTTTTCAATCCTGTGTCATGCTAGTTAAAATGTGCACATTGCAAGCAAAGTACCATCAAGATACAAGACATACTCTGTCTAGCTAGGCATCTTGATTTCTGACGTTTGGTTCTTAAACTAGTTTTATTTCTTCTAGAAGAAGAGAGTGAAGGTATTGCAGAAACCTTGAAAGGGTATGAAGTAAAAGTCCAGCAACTGGAAAAGGAATTATTTTTCTATAAGAAAACCAGCAGAGAGCTGAAGAAGAAATTGAAGGGCCTCTTTGGAGAGACATCCCATCAAATATTGTCATCCAGTAAATGTGAGCATATTATCTGAAACTGTTTATGCAATTGTCAGTAGACCATTTGAAGAGGGTGAACACACAGAAGTATATCAGATAGCTGTAAGTGTCATATTGTTACTGAACTGTTCTTCAGGAATATATTACACCTCTCAGTTTCAAGGGAGAGACAACGTTGATTTATAGCTGTAGCAGTGGTATAACAGTGGTTTAAATTTTTGTTCTGTTTTCCCTGGATTCTAATATAATTTCAGCATCTACAACCTCAAATTATTATGGTTAACACAAAGGAATTTTGCTATCTGAAAGGGTCTGAATAGTATTAAACTAACAGCTTTGTTATATGTCATGCACTTGATTTCTTAAAAGTTACTGCGAGATTGTCAATGAAAAATTCCATGCTTTTAGTTACTAACTAGTTACTTACATACTAAGGCTGAAAGAGAGGATGTACATACTTGTAGGGAAAAAAAAGTGCTTTCTAGTGTGATTCTGTGCTTTGACATAAAAAATCCTCAACCATCTCAAAACCCCAAAAAACCACAACAACCAACAGTTCCTATAAGTTTTTAATTGTTCTATGTCCTACTTGCCAGAATCAAAACCTACAACAGAGCTATTCACATGGAGGAGAAAAGAAGGTTCAATTTCATCGCTGTTTCAGTTGCCTCATACCTCTGGATGACACCACAATACCTAAGATGCACAATACAGCCTTCTTGGCCCCATGTTTCTCTTGGAGACTCAGCAAGACTGGTTCTTCCTCCAGCAGATGCTTCCGTTTCTTTCCACTCTGACAATGCTGTGCCTTCTACAAAGAAATGCCAGCCACTTCCCTGCTACTCCCAGAGTGAAGTAAGGCTTGGCTCTTGCCCTCTGGGCAGGATAATGAGCCAACATATTCATTACCATAAAGTACACCATCAAACTGTGAACATGAATATTCCAGAGACTGGATTATAAAAGAGCATGGGAAAGACTATTCTGTGCCTAGTATACAAAGAAGCATGCAGTTCAGGACAATGTATCCATGTCCTGAATATTCATAGGGAAACACCTATCCTAGGCAAATTGTAGCAATGGAAAGAAGGGAGAAGATGCCTGTGAATATCCACATTTTTTAAATGCATATACTTGCAAGTTTTATAAGAAATACTCTGCATTTAGTTATTTTTCTTTTTAATACATTGTGAGGCATGTTGCTATATAATGTAAAAAAACCACTTTGTCATTTGTTACTGAGCTTTAGAAATAATAAAATCCCTTTGTGTATATTGCAGTCAAATTTGCAGAATGTGTTTTGTGTACTGTATTAGTATAATTGCTGACTGTTTTCCAATGTATGAATAATTTCATTTTTGTCATGGTTCAGTTGTTTCAAGACTGCCTACTAGGATACATTACAAGTTAGTATGGTGAGGCTTTTATTAACAGCACCTTCTCAGATGAGAGTAATGGCTAATTCCTCTGACGTTTTTGTAGATGGTGAACTCTTTGAACAGAAAGGACAAAATGTGAGGTGCTGATAATTTCTTACCATGTTCATGCTACAAGTTACTGATGCTGTAAAACCATATTGACTACCTATGGGAGGCACTCAGAAGAGTTGTAACTTTCAGCTATTTATCTCCTGATAAATTTCATCTTAGGTAACAGTGCTGGTCAAGAGAAAGCAGAAATTGCTTCTGAAGATTTCAAGTGAAAACAGCTATTAAAGTTCATATATTTATTAACTACAAGTAAAAGTACTTATTTGAAGCATCAGAAAGCTCCCAATCTGTCAACCTGCTCAGTGTACTTTAAGCAATGAACAAAAATAGTAATAAACTAATTTAAAATAATTCTATGCTTCTTTACTGGATTTTGTTACAACGTCAATTCCTCATTGAAATTTTTTTGGGTTTTGCTTTAGATACTATCTAGACACTGCTATAATGGACTGAAAATAGGGAGAGAGAGACATTTTCTCTAGCTAGTCTGGTGTATAGGAATACCATGTAATTATTAACAAACAAACCCTTTTTTTTAGCATATGGTGAATCTGATTTCCAATTTCAGCTATATGTGGGAGCCCAAACCCAGCTTTCAGCAAAAGAAAACAAGGGCTGACAAACACCTCGTGATCTGAAGGAGCTGGACCCTTCTCACAAGACTTGTTAAAATTCTACCTTATGGATTAAGCCTGGCTCCAGCAGAAATCAGAAAGGACTCTTGAGATGATTGCATCAGACCATGTCTAAAACCCTTTAATCCCTTTCCCCCTACGTAATCTGGGTTGAGGGAAATATTTAACCCATTGGGCAACTTGTGTAATTCCCTAATTAACATAGCTCGTCCTCTTCATTAACATGTCCAGCCCCAGATGCCTTTAAAATAGTGTTCTTGTGTTCAGTAAATTATTCCAGTTCCCCCATACTGGGATCGTGTCTAGCTTTTATTTTTCAGACTGCCACTGCTATATGTAATAGGAGAAGATGCAACAAAATACAGGACTCCATTCTTGTTACACTGCAGCTTTAAAAGAAGTTCTCTTAAACATGACAAAATATTGATTTTTTAACCACTTTAACATTGGACTGAATCTACAAAAACTCCTAGCAATGTGTAGTTCATAAATGCAAGGAAAGATGAGTAGAATTTAAAAATAAATAGGTTGGAGATAGGTAGTTGGTAACAATGGTTTGTGGGTGCCCCATCCCTGGAAGTATTCAAGGTCAGGTTGAACAGGGCTTTGAGCAACCTAACCTAGTGAAAGATGTCCCTGCCCATGGCAGGGGGCTAGACTTACATGTTGGAAGGTCCCTTCTGACCCAAACTTCTATGATTCTAAGATTCTATTATCTGTATCCTGATCATACCTACATGAGTTTCAGCTGAAAAATGTAGGCACTGACATGTACAAATATCATGGCTAAAGATCTTCCATACCTGTAGAGGATTGGCTAGTGTGATAAACTGAGAGAATGATTCGAGCTAATTAAGAGAAAACAGTG